TGGAACTGGTTCTTACACTGTAAAAATGCACTCTTGTTTTTCATGCAACTTGACCAGCAAAATAATTGTATAGTGAACCCAGAAATAATCTTGAGAGTGAATGAATGGAGTGGGAGGGTGCCTTGCAGAGTCTGTAAGCTCCAGTGCTGTCCAAGAGTCACCAGCGTGAGAACGAGCCATTAAATAAAGAGATGAAAAATCTAGGAAAATGCGGCAATGGGCTGGCTCTATATAATCAGCTATTCAATTGCTTTTACTAGTTAAATGTTTTGCAACACATGCTTTTATAAGGTGCTGATCACCACAAGTTGCTAAAGTTTCATTTAAAAGAGACAAGTTTAAAAGTGCAGGGGTATGATTCTCATTTATGCCCATTAAGAGCCTATTAAGATTCTAACACAAAATCATTTGTAACAATATTGTTTTCTCAAGATTAAGATGATGTATGGTTACAAGAAGAGGAAGGGAGAATTCAAAAGACTGGGCAATGGTTTGAGTCAATAGAAAATTACCAGTTATTTTCAGAGACCTATCTAGAATGAGATAGTAGTCACTGTTCAGATTCCAGAGAACAGGCATCTACATAAAATACCCATGAAACTGGCACTCTAGTTGGCAGTCACACCAGTGAAACCAAGTAGATCAAAAAATCTTATTTCTGGTTGTGGTCCCTTCTACAAACAGGGATAAAGGACATTGGCAGGGTAGTGTATCTGTGGTGTGGATAAAGCATTTCAAATTTTCAGTGTAATCAAACACATATAGTATGGTTTGGTGTTTGAAGAGGGGGAAGGTTGTAAAAAGACTGAAACAGGTAATTTTTATAATGAATTACTATACTGTAGAAAGCAACACTAACAAATTTGCAGTAACAGCCATGTCGTATATGTTTTTAAAAAGAATTACATAAGTGTCATTCTCTTTAGGAAAAATGTTTCTTCCTGTCTCTACCATCCATGCCCTTGCACAAGTGAAGCTGGAATGTAGGTCTCCTAAACATGAAATCGTACTTTAATGACAACCTTCCTCCAACCCACACAACTCAGTCTCATTTATGTTTTGAAACAAGAAGCCCTCTTTGCTATGGTTTCTACAGGTAGATAGGGGATGGAAAAGTAGTTATACCCACACCTCAATAAACTACACTGTGTGTGTGTAATGGACCCGCTCCTGCTCCCATTGAAGTCAACAGAAAAACAAAGTAAATACATAACTTTAAAAAATTCTCTTAGTTATAATAAATAATCTTAGGTGTTCTTTCTACAAGCAGAAAAAACCCACAAAAAATCTTTCTAACAGTAAGTAGAGCATTTCGTCAGGGAGGTAGGATTTTTAAGTTGACAATGTCCTTTTGCTAAACTAGGTAGGGAAATGTTTTCTTTTTTAATAACATCTTTGACATGAGAATCTTTTTTTGAAGTGACTATGCGCTCTTTGTAGTGCTGATTGCCTGTCTTGTTGTCAAGCAAATCTCTGCTTAAAAACTACCAGAGGGTGAATTCTGCAAATCCATTGAATTTACTCATGTTTGAAAGGTGGATGAGCTTCACAAAGAACCACACTCAGAATTCTTCAGTAAACCTAGCAATTGTACTCCTTCAGGAATATGTTAATTTTTTTTTTAAATCACACAATTCAAAATGTGATTAGAGGTTATATTCTACTGCTATATGTAGTACAAGTATGTAGATATTTCACTAACATTTTATTCAGCCCAAAGCAGAATATAAAACATCACAACAGAGGCTATTAATGGGGAAAGGAGACATGCAATACAAGATTATATGACCCCAATGCTTTTTCTCCTTAATTATTTGATTTTTCTTTCCCTTCCTTGTTTTCAGATTTGGTTCATGAATCTTTAGTTAAAACAAGGTTGCAGATGGAATTTTACAGCTTTCAGGGATTTGGAAAAGATTTACAAAATATATCTTCATAGACAACACTATTGAAAGTACGCTGTAGACTTCTGAACAGAACACACGGGTTTCATTTATACTACAGAAGTTGTACTTTCAGGATTTACACGCATTAGTCTTGAAGCATTTCTCAGATCCTGTAGTTGCTTCGCTGGCTTTCCGACCCCTTCCTCAAACCTTTTCTCCACAACAGGAAGGACAGTTTCATAAAGAAATGACGCATTCTGCCTGATGAATGCTTTTTTCTCAGGGTCCTGTTCACACCGTAAACTGTAATCGACATGCTGGACAGCCACAAGGATAATCTCCACTAGGCTTTCCAGCAGAACCATGTGCAGCTCTGGGAAATACAGCTTGAGTGCTTCCTCCAAGAAGGCCATAGTCTGCTTGGTAAAAGCCACCACAGTGTAGCTAAGGTTCACCCAGCAGTCATCACCGGTGTATTGGTCAAAAGTGCTCATTCCACAGCTCCTCATCTCCTCTCTGAGTTTTCCCAGAGCACCTGGGGTCATCAGGTTCATCCTTCTCCACATCTCTTCAGAGTTGCGATGCTTGGTGGCCTCAATTATGATATCCTTGTAGCTCTGCAAAGCTCCTTTGATATCTTTCACTAACAGGGCATGAATGATGAAAGTGAGGTCCAGCCCAATCTCGCTGAGCTGCTTGCAGTGCTCCTTCGCTACCTTCAATAACAACATTTATTAATATATATCTGGATATCTTATACACTAATTTTTTTTTACAGACTAATCTAGTTAATCACCATGTTACCCTTAAAAGTATCAGCCCTATTTTATAGATATGAAAAATAAGGCAGAGATTAAATGTACCTTCAAAAAAAAGAAATAGACTGATTTTATATATATTAGAAATGCAGATCTTTTCTGCCACAGAACACTACGGACAACTAGAGCAGTAATAGGATCATGTCATAAGAGCCTGAAAACTGGGGAATTAAGGAATAAAGGATTTTTAGTATTTTTTTTAAAAACTTTTGTTAATCCATAGTCGAATCCAATCCAATAAACTCTTTGGAGAAAGGCATATTCAAACTTTAACAAATAAATCTTATCCCTTTAATTAAGATGTGAAAGAGCTGACAAACTTTTGCAATCTCCAATCAGTCTTTGGGCAAAACATGGGAAAACCAAACCTGGCATTGCTGATATTCACAGAACAAAAGACAAGCAGAAAAAACCCACAACAAAAAAGCCTTTCATACATCCTAAAGAAGCAGGACACCTTTCAGACCAAAGCCACAGAGGTAATCAGTAAGCGAACAAGGATTAGCAATCAGAAGTTACTGGTTTCTTCCAGGAATGGGGTCAATTCACCAGACCATACTACCTTCCTTACACACTTACCTTCACACACTCAGCAGCAGTGGACAAGCTCTCTTTACTGTCGAATACTTGCTTGCTAAAGGCATCTACAAACATCCTCATTGCCGAGCGGGCCCACACAATGAAGGCAGAGTAGCAGCCACTGTTGCCAGCAAAGTCTGTCTCAAACTCCCTGGCCGTCTCTAACAAACTGGTAAAAAAGACATGGCAAAGCTTGTGGATGTAGAGCAGAGTGGCACCCTCAATGCGCAGTTGACGGATGGCTGTGTGTACAGCAGCTGCCCTGTTCTTCAAGAAAAGCTCACATGCCTTGGTGGACTGCCCCAAGCGAATGAGCTGGGACACAGCCCGGCGAGTGGCCCTAGGACCACCTCGTAATGACCGATCCGGAGATAGCTCAAACACCAGCACATCGGTGAGCTGCCTGACTCGCTCATCTACCTTGGCTCTTAGCTCCCTCACTGGCTGGCTCATAGCCTTCTCTCCCAAATACTCATTCAGCTTATCCAACAGGTCCACTGCCCCCTCAAAATCTCTCTGGGCAATGCAGACATCTAGGTCTTCAGGCAACTCCTGGATCCACTCCAGGGACAGATCTACTGTCTCTTCCTCAGGTGCGGGTTCCTTTTCATCTTCTCTGTCAAAGGGATTAGTGGCCTCAGGAGGTGGCGGAGCAGTATGTGGCAGGGCCTCCTGCTCCAGCCTCAGCTTCTCACTGAGGGCGCGGTTCCGCTTGGTCTCCTCCAGCACCTCCAGCCACTCCTTCTTGATCTTGGCATTCTCGGCCTGGAAGATGCGGCTCTCGGGAAACATGAGCAGCTTGAACATGTCCTTCATGGGCGGGTTGTCCTTGACATTGATCACAGCCAACCCTTCCAGGGGATAGAGGGCATTGTAGCGGTAGGCACCACGCCGGTTGGGCAGCCAGGTGGCCACCAGCAGGCAGTCGTTCATGAGGAAGGCATGCACCCGCTGGATCTGCGCCATGTGATCGGCGTCGTACTCCACCAGGTCGCCGTTGTAGACGAGGTACTTGCCGGGGCTCTCGGGAAGCAGGTCCCGGCAGCCCTCCACCTTCTCCAGCAGGGTGGTGAGCGTGCGCTGCCGCCCCTCCTCGCTGGCGGCCTCCTTGGCCGAGAGGGGGAGGAAGGGGTTGCTGTGGGGGTCGGCGGCGGCGCGGCGGGCGCCCAGGGCGGGGTCGTCGCGGTCGGCCTGCAGCAGCAGGGCCTGGGTGACGGCCTCCATGATGCCCTTCTGCTCGGTGAGGATGTGGCTGAGCTGGTACATCTCGCTCTCCAGGTAGCTGATCTCGCGCGCCGTCTCGATGAACTGGCGGTAGTTCTGGTAGACGTTGCGCTTGAGGCTCTGCGCCGTCTCCTCGCTCAGCGCCTGGATGCGCTGCCGGTGCTCCTGCAGGTCCCGGTCCCCGTCCGACTGCTGCGACAGCTGCTTCACGTACTCGCCCGCCGCGAAGCCCCCCGACTCCAGCTGCCGCCGCAGCCGGCTCCCGCCCCCGCCCTCACCCAGCGGCAGCGCCATCGGTACCGCCGGCAGGGAGGCCGCCAGCCCCGACACACCGAGAGCGGAAGACGGGTGACAGCAGGTACGGCGGCGCTGGGAAAGGGCGCATGCGCCAGGATTACGCACCAGCTACTGCGGCATATTGCGCGTGCGCCTAGACAGCGACCTCCTTTGAATGGCGTAATAATCCTACGTCAGAGGCTGCACTGCGCAAGCGCTGATTGAGGGGGCTGTACTCGCCGGGTAGTACGTATGCGTCGGACAGAGCGGAAGTTGAGTGTGGGACGCTATTTGGCGCACGCGCAAGAGGAAAGTGGTAGAATACGCATGTGCTGAGAAGGGGGCAACAGGAGGGTACCCAGCTGTATTGCGCGTGCGCCAGAATCCGAGTCAGCGGTTGCCGGTCGGGAGGCTGAGGGGCTCGCACAGTGCGCTTCCCCTGGGCCTGGGCCCGGGCCCGGGCCGACGGCGCTCCATCGGGATGGACGGAGACTTCCTGCTGGCGCTGCGGTTACAGGCGCAGTGGGAGGAAGAGGAGGAAGCGGCGGCGGTAGCGGCCTGTAGCGAGTTCCCGCGCGGCTCCTCAGCGCCGCCGCGGCCGCTCTCCGTGGTGGACGAGGCCTGGGAGCTGCTGGACCCGAGCCCCGACGTCCGCGGCCTCTTCGTGCAGTTCAACGAGACGCTCTTCTGGGGGAAGCTGGCGGCCGTGGCGGTGACGTGGAGCCCGCGCATGACGCTGTACGGTAACGGCTGCGGGCGGCTGTTGGAACGGGCCGGCGGCGGGGCTCGGGGCGCTGCGGGAGCAGGAGCAGCCGGCCCCAGTGAACGGCCCCGGGGAGCTGCATCGAGCGGCCGCGCTGATCCCAGGAACTCGCGGCTCCAGTTAAAGCGCGATCGCCGCGGCCGCCAGACGGGAGGGGGCCCCGGGGGTCGCAACCTCGGGAGCCTCTCTGGGGAGCTGGTTCAAACCGTAACTCGGATGCCGACCCGCTCCCGGAGGGGGCGATGTGGGGAGAAACCCGCCGCGCGCCTGCAAAGGCAGGGGGCGCCTCGCGGGCCTACAGACCGGCCACTGAGTCCGCAGAGGGAGACCCCCCAGAAGACGGGCCTGGGCCTTTCGGACAGACTCCTCCTGTCCGCGGCGCCCCACGAGGTGGTGTGTAATGATGGGGTGCGAGGCCAGGGGCGGGTGTCTCTCTAGCTCACTTGGAATAGTTAATTCCTGCCACCTCCGCTCGGGACGTGACCTGTTCAGTGACATGTGTCACGCTGTCCCGCCTGGACACTTTCACAAACTGCGAATCCCCCCTGGGCTTCACGCGCCAGGAGCGTGTTTCCCCCTCGAGTAGGTAAACCTGGCGGGGGATTAGAACTGGCTGCACAGTCAGTGCTGTTAGTCTGTGTGTGGTAAACTCAAGGTGTGTGTGACTGCATATTACACTTACTGTAAGATGTAGCGCCTCCGTTTTCGTTTTCACCAATTATTTGTTTTGAAAGGCTTCAGAAAAGGGAAACTCAGGTCGAAGCAGTAGCAATAGATTCATATGTTTTAGGACTATTTTGGAAGTAGGTTTTTTTTTTTTTTTTTTTTTTTTGCCATTTCCTAGTTTGTACTGTAAAATTATTGGTTGAACTCTGGATAAGTCTTGGACTTTAGCAATGTTGTGCTCTTTGGAGAGTTGTTAAAAAAAAAATCTTGGTTTACTTGGCAGTGTTAAGTGGACCAGTATTTGTGTATTTAATTCTCAGTTCTGCTCCACCAGCTACAAAAACAAATAGAAGTCTACCGTCTGCCTATTTTTCTTTTTTAGATGTGCTGGAGTGTGCAGCTATGAAGGAAGAGGTGGGATGTGTTCCATCCGCCTTAGTGAGCCACTCTTAAAGCTAAGACCAAGAAAGGATCTTGTAGAGGTATTTTAAGACATTTCATCTATGTGTAAACTTACTGTAAATCTCCTGAAGTGTATCCTATCTTAAATTGTGCACTGGAGGTCTTAATGCACAATGTTATCTAGATTATAAAATAGTCTTTGCTTTGATAGGAAACTTGTATTAATTGCTTAGTGGTGGTTGTCTAAGTATGCAAAATTATGGTAATCTCAGTCACAATTTTTCTGAACTGACACCCTTATGGGTAAGACCCAAAGTCATTCACCCATTTTACTCCCAGAAATAGGAAAAATATTTTTGAGGGATTTAAAATATCCCCTTCCTTAATGTTAAAACTATAAAGTTGGCTTCAGAATGCAAAATGAAACTATTTCAATTCAATCTCCTGGCTGAGCAGCCCAGTAACACAAAAAGGAGGATTTGATCCTGCATGTAAGTTTCATGCTGTTCCTCAGTTCTCTCCCAGTTCTGTTGTTGTGAGCTGGTTGGAAATTAAGGTTAGACAAGAGTCCTATTCTAAAGTGCTCAGTGATCTGCAGTCTTGCAAAATCTGCATCCTACTGCAGGCTCGCAAGCATCGCTTTTCTCCTGGGGAAGTAATTTTTTTAAAAGAGCCTAAGTCAGGGGAGATCAGATTTTGAATGTCATTTTTCATAGTAATGTCCCTTTGAATGCCCTTTAGGATATATGGAGAGAGAGGATGATTTTTAGCAGAGAGTTGTTATTGTATTCTTATGACCCATACTTAGATTGCAAATGCACGGAAATAAAATCTGTATCAAGATAAATAGAAAGTAGTAAAGACAAAATGGGCTATTAGCTAAATTATTTTAAAATAATATATCATATGTTTTTCAGAAAACATCTAGCAATTTAATGACTTTTGTTTCAGACACTCTTACATGAAATGATTCATGCCCTATTATTTGTCACTAACAATGACAAAGACCATGAATCCCATGGGCCAGAGTTTTGCAAACACATGCGTCGTATCAATCGCATGACTGGAGCCAATGTTACAGTAAGTCGTTTTTACTTAACAAAATACAATCTAGAAAATTTAAACTATATTTTCTATTCAGGTACTATGTAACTGGATATTTCAAATATAGTATGATAATATGTTGGCACTTATTGTTAGCCAGTCCATAGGTGGTATGAACAGCTTTGGGTAGAGAGAGCTTTGTACTAGTTATGGGGAGGGGAGGAGCAAGCAGGTTGAGGAGAGTGCAGTAAAACCTGTTTGGGAATATGTAACTTGTAAACGTATATTGTATTATATTATACATTTTTTTAGAAAAAGATCTCTGGAGCCATTTTGGCTCAATATTTGTTTTTAAATTTTTAGTGTTATGAACTCTTAAAGGAAAAAGACTTCAACTTCAGGGTACAATTTGGGAACTAAAAATCCAGTTTGCTTTTAAGATTTAATAAAAGAGAGATTGTTGCGTTAACCATACATTTTGTATTTTAAAGCTCACATCTATGTTACTACTAATGCCTTAGATAAATATCTTAAGTTTTGAATAAAACTCCAATTTACATTTTATTATGGTGTTTCCTCCTCCATATTTTTTTCTTTTTAGAAAATGAAAACAGAATCATCAGTTTCTTTTGTTCATAGTCAAAACTTGGTATTTTACTTCCTGGTTTTCACAGATTCTTACTATAGTGCACTGATTGGGAGCAAAAAGCAGTTGCAGATAGGGCTTTTTAATGAATTCAAACAGAATATCCAGCGAAAGTTTCTATTTGTCTTAAGTTTTATAAAAGCCTTGTTTTTACAGTATCTAAATTTTGGGCCAAATTTGACCCAACCATTTTCCTTTAGTTGAAGAAGAAGAAGAATAGATAACATTAAAATTCAAGAAGATTCTGTACTTCAGTTACTAACTTAAAGATGCAGGGAGGGGAGTTGATTTATTCCTCTGTCTAGGTGCAGAATAAAGCTTCATGAAAGGGAAACAAGCATTGATCCATTATTGCTTAATATCTCTTAGTGCACAGAGTGCTAGTTAATATTTAATGGTTATTAGTATGCAAGATTGTGCTGTCCATATATCAGGCGTTTTAATTTTTGTAGGGAAGGAAAAATGCTATTTACTTGAAAGTGGTTGTTATGCATACGGTAGGGTCTCTGCTAGCAGGTAAATAATGTGCTGTTTTCCTCCTGGCTCTCTGAGGGTTTTCCCCATGAGAGGTAGTAGTAAGTAGTTAAAGAATGCTAGCACATTTCAAACATGTAAAGATGAATGATTAATATGAAATGGAAATGACTGTTGTGTTTTTGTTTTATGCTTAGATCTATCACGACTTTCATGATGAGGTGGATTCATATCGCCAACACTGGTGGCGATGTAATGGCCCATGTCAGAGTAGAAAACCTTATTATGGATATGTGAAACGCGCAATGAATAGGGCACCCTCTGCGCGAGACTTCTGGTGGTCTGACCACCAACAGACCTGTGGAGGAACGTTCTCAAAAGTAAAGGAGCCAGAGAACTATTCTAAAAAAGGCAAGGAGAAAACCCAGCTAGGAAAGCTTTCAAACTCTGAGCCATCTGATACCAAAGGTATGTAACTCTGTTTTCACTTTTCTTCCCTTCAGGCCCACTCCTGCCCTATACAGTACTCCAACAAATGAAAATAGATCAAATACTGGAGAAATTTAGTATTCAGATTTTCTGTAATGTTGGATTTGGTTCACATGGTTTTTGGGTTTTTTTTTTTTTTTTTTTTAAATGCTTGTGTTGCATTAAAGTTATAGCATAGTTAAAGGTCTGTGCAGCACTATGTAGTCATCTTCATATTTTTAGAGCAAAAATATTGGACTAAATAAATAACTCAGATTTCTGGATTTACTTGTGATCTATCTTACTATTAGCGAATCATAATTAGAATCACAGCACCTGGCCATTCAAAGGGACACAGCTTATGAAAATGTCATTCCATCCGTATTAACTTTCATCCCAGAATTTTAAGCAGAAAACTAGTTGTTATGCAGGCATGGCCCTGTGTATTTCAGGGCCACAGAACTTGCAGCAAAATCTTTACCCTGCATAGCAGAGTCAAAGGCTTAGGTTCTACAATACTATTAGACATTTCTTGTCCTTATCATTGTGAGGAGAACCTGCTAAGCAGTGTTATCTTTCTGAATCTAACTAGCCAGAAATAATATGAATTAACCACCTTATTTATCGCAGTGGCTTGCTAACTCCTGAAAACGAGTGTAAAATTTCAATATTCACTGTTTCACAGGTGATGACTTTAGCAGAAAGCTTCAGCTAAGATGGTTAACCCACAATGCCCACCTCTCCCCCACCTGCCAAGTGGTACAACTGTCCTCTACCCAGCTTCCAAAATCAACATTTTTCTCACCAGTCCCACACTTGACATCTACTGATGCATTACTTCATTATCAATATGAAAATATACAATATATTAGACTGAAATATGGTGACAGCATAAAATTGAATATAAAAAACAGGAAGGGTACTGTATTAATCATATATATGTCCTGCTTATATTAATTAAAAAGCTCCTTTTTATTTAAATCAAGCTGCTGAAAAAGTTTTTGTCTGCCACACGAGTGTGTCAGAATTTGGGGGATCTTACCACAGAACTTAGCTCCATCCTGCTGTGGAATAACAGGCTGGTATTCAAGTCCTATTTGACTTCTTAAAAATCAAATAGCAAGTTGTTGAGTTAACAGACTTGATACTGAGCAAATGTAGTAGATTCGAACAAAGTTACTAATCACTCATCTTTTGCAGGAAGGATACATGGAGGTGATATACGAAGCCTAATTCCTTTTAGTGGAAAAGGATATCAGCTTGGAGGAGCAGGCCTTTGGTCCTCTGAGAGACACAAAAGTTCCAACAGTATTAAGGGCAGAGAAATACCCAGTCCACAATGTTATTCAGCAGCTGGAACCGCAAGATCAGTTCCTAAAAATGAACTAAAATTTGAACCAAACACATTCAGTACCAGCATTTCCCATCCAGTTTTTACTGATCGCTCCAATCATAAAAACAGCTTTGCTTTGAACCACAAGTTTCCTAAAATATCTGTCGCTAATACAAAAGCTTACAGGAATGTTGATGGGTCGCCTGTTAAAATTTCTCCTGTTAATGGAGGAAATTTGAACCAAAGTCCTACAAATGCCAAGTCGGTTTTTCCATCTTCTAATGAGACACCAAAACAAACTTCCTTTGAACAAGCTGAGACAACTCTAAGATCCTGGGTTTCATCCCAGGAAAATAGCAGCTTTGAAAGTGGTGGTATACCACAGAAACGGCCAAAAACGGAAGACAAATCTGCCTTTGTAAACTACTTTACAAAGAGAGAGAGTACTGATGGCACTTCTAGAACTAACACTCCTATAAAAAACAATGCTGAACCAACAGTGTCCTCTGAAAGTTGTAGTTCTGCTGTTAGTCAGAATAAAAAAGTTAGTTGTCCCGTTTGCCAGACCGAGGTTTTGGAGACCAAAATAAATGAACACCTAGACTCTTGTCTGACATAACCTTTGAAATGCAATATCACAGCTAAGTACTAAGAATTGTTTGAAATCTTCAAATTACATTGCTCAGGATTTATCCAATTATGATTGTTATTGTGTGCCTGTACACTGGCCTGTATTGTCCAAGCTGGTAACTTTCCTATATGTGTAAAGTGGAGTCTGAATTTCAGCATGAAGGGAGGGCAGTTCTGATCCTAACATGCAACTCAAAAAAAAAAAAAAAATCAGATGTATAGACTCTCCCGGTGCTTGTGTCCCAAAGAGCCTAAGGGTATATGTACGCTACCAAGCCTACATCAGCAAATTATGCCAGCACAGGTGACAGGAGGAGGAATTCTGTTGGTGTGGGAACAGCACCTCCCTGAACGATTTTAGCTGTGCCAGCAGAAGCCCTCTTCTGTCCGTATAGCTGTGGTCTGTGCTGGTGGTATAGTTGGAATAAGTGTGTCGCTATGAGGATTGGTTTTTCTACACCCCGACCAACATAGCTCTGTCGGTATAAATTTTGAAGTGTAGACCAGGCCAAATACACTCCTGATTTTAGTAAATGCAATTGTGGTTGGGTTACATTTTTACTGCAGAACCTAAGAAGGTCTCTTCCCATAGTAACACTTACTAGATTCTGAAATCTTAGATGATTTCTAAAAGCAACTTAACGTTTTTAACCATGTTTTGTCTTTTTGTACTTTTCCTCAGTCCCCAAAATGTTCTTTAACTCATCCCTCGCCACCTTTTAAATTTAACTTCTAAATTGTCCCCTTCCACATAAACTGATACCAACTTATCAGTTTACCACAATGAAAATGTGTTAAATAGTGGGCATTTTTTTATATTCTTATAACACCAAATATTGTGTTTTGGCCACAGCTGCCGACTCTCCAGATATCCGTTTTGCCCAAAACTTTTTAAAGGGCAGGTAGGAATGAGGATGGAATTAGATTTAAATTATGGTTGTATCCACACTGCCAGCGAGGGGTGTGATTCCCCTGGTCATGTACACATACTCACTCTAGCTCTTTTCAATACCCACCTGAAACCAGTAGAAATGTATGCACTCAGCTCAGCCATATCTCTGCTGCTGCTACATTGCTATTTATATTTGCACTAGCTGGATGAGAGTGCAAGTATGTATAAACAACCAGGGGAATCACACCTCTTGCTTGCAGTGTAGACATAGTTTAAGTCTTCAGCAAAAATGGGGAGCAGCTTAGAAGTTAAAAAAAAAATATAGTAAGTCTATTTTAGCATAATCTTGTAAGTGGAGAGCATGGGTAGAAAATTAGTGATATGGGAGGGATTCTAGATACTTACACTGCTTGATGCATTTGATGAAGCATTAGGCTGTAGACTTAAGGCCCTATTAGAGATACATACTGGGTTTTGAAGCATTGGTTAAGAGGGACAGGAATAGGATAATTTTTGTTTAGCCACTTTGGTTGGTTTTTAATGTGCATGGATGGTATGCAGGCAGTGACAGCTAATTCATGGTCCAACAATCTCCACTTTTTTTCCTTCTGTCCCTCACATTGGCCTTGCTGCATATATTGACGCGTCAGTGGCTTTCACTCTTTAACTCCAAGAATGTGTAGTGTGCGTTTCTGTATATTTGACCGCTAAAGGCTAAAACCACCAAGAGTAAAAATAGGGCTGAGTACAAGTAGCAAAACTAGAAGACCATGTCATATCACTAGTCCTGCTACAGAATTCTAACTGAAGGCCTGAATTTAAATGCAGATTTCCAATTGAATTCCCATTGCAATCATTGGCAGAGCTTTGCTTTGCTTCCTTATCAGCCTAATTAATAGTTCAGTCAGTATATGCTAACAGCATTCTATTACATGTTATGAATACCAAGTAAGATGTATAAAGCCTACTAAAATGTTTACAGTTCTGTTGGTGCACTAAAGGTATTTAACTGACTGGTTTGGGCAATACTGTCACAGTTTGAACTAGCTTTCCCAATGAATTTATTATACACTAGGTTGCTTTTTGAACTGCTGGTAGGTATATATGGTGGCTATGATGCAGACAAAAGTGTAAATACAGGTTGTCTTGTTATAAATGTAACGTGGCTTACAATTGACTTCCTCTGAGATGAGAAATAAACAGATCAGACAGTTACGGAATTTGACCCGTGCTAACTAATATCTAGTTTCAAAGTATAGGGGAAAAAAAAACCCTAAGATTGCATAGAATGTACTTTTTTTCAAGAAACTGAATTTTAAAATACTGACATTACTGAAATGTTTTAATGACCTTAACAAAAATGTCTTGCATATTCTGAATAAATCATGATGCTGAACCTTGGGTTGTTAAATCTGGTTTTCACGTGACCGTCAATGACTACTTTTATTTGCTCTTTAAACACATTTCGTACAACAGTAGTCACTTTTAACAGTTCACTCCAACATCTGCACAACCTTCCCTTCTTAACTACCCCACAAACCCAAACCTTGCTGTGGAGTGATAGTTATTCTTGGGGGGGATTCTGTGCCATTGCACATGTATGGAGAGTTCATGTCCCCTGCAGCTTTCTCTGCTTCCCCGCAGAAAAAAGATTTCTGAAGAGGAAGTAAAGAGAAGCCATAAGAGCGCTGATGCACCCCTCCAGGGCAGCATAGGTGTGTCAATTTGGGCATCAGGAGTAGTTAGGGGAGATGTAAATCACTGCCAGAGGAGGGGGATTGGGACTGTGCGAGCAAGCGACTCTGTCACTCGCTATCACAATGGTCCTGGTATGGAGGGGCTAGGCTTCAGTGTGTTTCTGAGGAGGTAGGTGTGGGCTGGCCCTGTCCTCTCAGACAGAGCAGAATGTTAACACTACCTGCTTAGTGAATTGTTCCCATTGTTAGTGAATTCCCCCAAGAGTATAAAACAGGTGTAAAAGTTTAAAGGCTCCCTTACATTGCCAGAGTGGTGTAAGTGGCCAATTTGAAATTGACAAGAAAACCAGGCAGCTAGAGCCCAGCTGCCCCCACTCCCCTGGTGAGCCAGGTGGCTGGACCCCATTCCTGGTGGGGAACAGGGAGCTGAGAAGCCCTGGGTGGCCCAGTAGGAGCCTGTGGGGTATCCAAGCTCCTGACAGGGAGCTACCAGCAGAGCTCTCAACACTGCCCCTCTTAGGTTGGTGGAAGCACTCCTGGTGAGGATGTGCCCCACTGACCTAAGGAAGGTATTGTGGACACGAGCCACCACAGTAATTACTGTGGTTGCTCTAAGTTGGCCTAACATAGGTTGACTTCTCTTTGTAGTGTAGACATAATCTAAATGATTAGAACTGGTCTAAATTTTTGGACTGAAAAATCTTCTATTAAATATGCTCCATGAACTGTTTACTACTGACCTTTCTGGAGATGGTCAGTAGGCAACATAAATTGTGAGTTTGATTTTTCCTGCTCTCACTTGGTCTTCAGTTGTCTATGATTTAATACTGAGCATATGGCTGCATGTATTTGTTGACTAATAACTAGAAATAAAGGGTCAAACCTAGCACATTACTATTAGACAAAGGGATTTTGTCTCCAATGCTCCCCACTCCCATTCTCCATCCATCTCAGCAGTTCACCTGAATCCCTGCCTGAGTCATTTCTTCTTCCAAAAGGCTGTCAGTCATCTGCTGCAGGCACCATAAATTCTTGAACATGGCCCAGAATCCACTGATGCTGCAAAGTAGATTATAAGCAGCCCTTAATCCTAGCTGCTTTTCTGTCATTTTCTCATTGCATGGTCTTCCCATTTGTTTTTGGGTGCAATTCCAAGGTTTATTTTTGATCTACAGTGCAAAGCATTATATGGTTAGGACTTGGTTTCTTTTTCCCTGTGCACTATCAAAGAACAGCAGCAGGCACTTTTGCATATAGCTTAATCTTATTGTCCCCTGAGTGATACGGCCATCTTCTTGGGCAAGCACATGCTTGATTTAAACTCATCAATACATTATTTATGATTGGTAGGGAGTACAGGGAAGGGGGCTGTTATTCCAAAATATGCCAGGTGATGGGTCCCCAGTGGGTGATCTTCAGGAATTTTGAAATCATAGAATATCAGGGTTGGAAGGGACCTCAGGAGGTCATCTAGTCCAACCCCCTGCTCAAAGCAGGACCAATCCCCAATTTTTCCCCCAGATCCCTAAAAGACCCCCTCAAGGATTGAACTCACAACCCTGGGTTTAGCAGGCCAGTGTTCAAACAACTGAGCTATCCCTCCCCCCCTAGAGAGTGCATGAGTGGGCTCCTTTCCCCACCCCTCCCTCTTTCTTGTGTAGGGACAGGCAGTGAACAGGAGTCAGGACTCTTTTCATACCAAGGGAACCCTCAGCTGGGAAGAGCTATGTGCTTTCTGGCTTTTTTTCTGTGCCAGAGTGGCACAGTGGGGCTCAATTACAGCTCAGGATCTAGTTTACGTGTTGTGCCTTTTTTCTGCATTGTAGTTTAAATAAATTACCAGAATAATTGAAACTGGAGTGATTATATTGTGTTATTTTGACAAATAAAATATGCAGAATTTTAAAATACTTTCTGCAGTATTTTTAGTTTTTTTTGGTACAGAATTCCCCCAGGAGTAAATAGTGTAGATTTGGTTAAAAACAGGCTGCACTAACTTCCACGGTCTCCATCTTTTACTTAACATAGAGTTATAGGGGATGTTTTCAATGCTTTGCCAGAAATAGTAAGTTTAAAATGATCACACAACTACTGATCTTAGGACTTGATGTGACCTGTTTCTTTATCATCAGTTTTGTTTAGATAGACATATATGTATTTTAGTTGTACAAATGCCTCCACAAAACTTAATATATAGTGAAAGAAAGCAAGTTTCCTGACTTACAGGTTATTAGTTGGCTTAAAAAAATAACTTAATAGTAGTTTCAAGTATGCACTTATCCACTTCAAGTTCTGTCTGTTTGTGTAACCCTATCAATTACACAATCTTCCCCCTCACTATTTTTTTCCACCTAGTACAGCATGAAAGACCTACAGAAACCAGAGACAGTGAAACTGCATTTGACAACATTTTTTGGATAGGGTCAAAGTAAACAAATTGAACACAGATTTTTTTTTCTAAGCTGTTAAGTAATTTTAGGTGTTACCTGTTCAGTTGTCAGTAACAACAAATTTAACAAGTGTTATTTTACATACTACCCGTGTCACTTTCTTTACAGAATCAAAAACTACCATGTCAGTTATTTGGGGGATGTTTTGGGGATAGTGAGAGTTTTTCTAAATTCTATCTTTGACAGTGTAAAAGCATTCTGAGAAGTCTTTTGGGTTGGCCTGTCACACCTTCAAAAATCAATCAATCAAAACTGGATTGCCTAAAGAATTTGGCAATCATCGACAGCATTTTGAAAAAAAATCTGGCTTTCTGCCTGTTAAAAGCTGTATGATTAAGTATAATGGTAGCCAGGCATTTCTTGTGCAATAGTTGTAGAAGATAGTTTCAAAGCTCTTTAAGCAGCAGACTCCATAGTTATTGTATACTGGAAGGTATTAGCATGCCTCTAAGCTCTCTTTCCAGCATATTGCTGTGGGTGCTTCTTGTAGAAGGTTAAGTTTTACACTTCTATCAATGATTCAACTTTATGTATGAAGAATATAGTACCTCCTATGATGCTGGATGATTAAAGATGACCATTTATATTACCACTGTTATATAATTGCCATCAATCTTGTACAAAGTGTATCATGTAAGGTGTCAATAGAAACATTACAATCCAGCAGGTATGATTATCCTGGTTAAATCTGGTATCTTTGTATTTGAAGTTATGAATATTGGCTGTGTACTTGTATCATAAACCTGTGTTGTATCCCTGGGTGACTCATCACCAGGTGGATTTACTTCAGGGTTAGACAGCTATGTATTGATGGCCCATCAAGGACACAACTCTCACAATGGGCCAGTGGAGAAACTCATCCCAGCCAGTAGCTCTTCCTGAGGATGCCTGAGACAGCAAAGAGACCGGAGAAACAGGTGTTTAAAATTAAATTTTTCCTAGGGCATTCAGAAAGCAGAATTCCTACACTCATTAGGTCTCTGGCTTTTAACACAATTGTGGCTAGACCCTTTTCCTTGTCTACAGACCATAATGGTTAGTCTAATTCCTCAGAAGGGAGAAACAAGTTCAAGGGGGCTTGGAAGAAAATTTAGACAACTTTTCAGAGACCAAGCTCTTCATCTTACCTCATGCGCAAAGAAAAATCCAGAAATGAACCATCTTGTGAGCATTCTTTGTTGCTTATAAACCCATATGTAGGGTCCTGAATGGGTGGGTGCTGTAGAGCCACACTGAGGAGGAACCCAACACCCATAACTCCTAGGGAGTTCACTGGGAGTTTCAGCTACTCCGTCCTTCTCATGATCAGGCAACGCAAGGTTTTCCCTTCCTTCAGGGACTGAGCATGTTGCCATCTAGTGGAAACAGGCTCTGCCAGCCATGGAATAAAGGGCTGAGATCTGGCCTCAGCATTAGTCTTTTGAATGACAAATTGTGCTAACCCCTGGGGCCACTGCAAGCAGGTTGAGTAGGCTGCAGGCTGATGCAACTAATCTCCCTCCCGTGCCTGCATAACCATCCTCTGCTCCTGACCCAATTTCTCCCATCATCCCATGTACAACATTCTGTCCTACCTGTGGGTATGCACCCAGTCCTGAGCTGCAGCTAAGAGAGGCTTTATTTATTTTGTTGAACTGAAGAGTGAGAACATGGCCCACTAGAGAAAAGAAAAAAAGTAAATCCACTGGGGGGGAGGGGGGGACAGAGAATGAATGAAGGTAGTTTATTGCTGCTTCAATGGTATTTTGAATTTTGAAGAACTTAGTTTTTAATCTACCTTGAGTCTAAGTGTTTTCACGTTCAATATGCCTTAGACCACACTTCATGGCCTAAAATACATAGAAGAATTTGACTTTTTCCCTCCTTTTCATTACCCCAAGACATTTTTAGCAGAAAACAGTAGGAAATGTAGAAGAGTTTTTTTTTTAAAAAAGGGTATATTTATTTTAAACAACCACCAGAGGGACCCAGTTCCCTCGTCTCACTGCTGCTGGCTTGTTTCCCCTGTAGGACTTAGTAAATTTTTCTTTTTTTGCCAAGTATTCTACATACAATAGACAGTTTGGGCAGCCTTTGCTGAAGCATAAGTGAATATGATAAAGAAAAACATCCTTGTTTCTCTCCTGAACTTGTATGAGCTTCCTTATTTGTACCAGTTAGGATATGTATCATACACTAAAGTCACAGGAAAACTCTTGATCTTAACATTAGATGAAATGATCGGTGAAGAAAAAGATGTATATCCAGCC